AAAACGCCCCCCGTGTATAGCACAGATACAAGTTTTATGTATTTCACAAATGAGCAGATCTCTCTAGGATTCCCCATTGAAAAACTTAACAATTGCAGTAATGCCCCCCTATTCTAATGAATCCCTCCAGATGAGACCAGAGCCCAGTTCACACAATGTGCTTCAGAGAGAAGGTTTCAGCCAAGGTTGGAGCCTCAAGTTTGAGACAGCACAGAGCTCACTGACCCTTTACTGGCGATGTTTGGTCTCTCTGCCCAGCAGGAMCCAAAACTGAGCTGGAATATCAGGCTACAGGAATTACAAACGTGTAGGCAAAGGGTACAGGGATACATAAAGGGTACAGAAATGTCAAAAAGGGTCTATAAAATACATAAAAGGATACATAAAAAGGAAAGGCAAAATCATCAGGCATCAAACCCGCCCCCAGGCAACGAGGTCACACCAGCCTGGAGCCCTGGGCTGCCCTCTGCAGCAGCAGGAGACGCCTGGAGCAGGGATGTCTCTGCCAGGGGATTCAGCTGGCTGCATTAACTCACAGGCTGGGGGCTCTCTGCAGCCAGTCTTCAACCCTGTTCCACCAGGAGAGGGTCTGGGAGCTGCTGAACAGTACCAGGACACCTTCCCTGGCCCTCCTGAGGTTTCATCCCACAGGGGTGCAGGTTTTATCCCACAGGGGTGGTGCCCACTCTRTCTCTCCCAAAGTACAGCCAAGGCACGGGCAGAGCCAACCCAGAGCCACCAGAGCTKCCARGCTYRGTGCAARRCYCCCCATGARGGTCCTGGTGGGGTGCAGCCTCTCKGCTCCCCACAGAGGCATCAGGGAAAGGTAAAACATGACTTTGGACCCCAAGGCTGGGAGTGACAAACCCCTAACTCCATCATCTGCTTTATTCTGAACCACAGCCATGCCAACACCCAGATCCCAGCACGCTCTTTCTCAGGTTATTCATGACTCCTGCACGTTCTGTCCCTCTGCTACTCTACGTCAGTAAAKGCTGATAAACCAACATCATTGAACCAAAGGAATCAACCAAACTGATCCATCCATGTTGGGCAGGGCAACACAGCTTATAGTCAGCACATTTTTGGCACCTTTCTGTGAGCTAGAGGTGCCTTTGCTGTGAATTCAGGAATTACCCTGAGCCCAGCCCCTCTTGTTGGAAAATACAGCAGTTTAAATTTTTTTTTTTAATATACTTTTAATCAAAGATCTTGTTTGCCTTTGCCCCAGGGAAGGCACTGAAGTTTCTTTGCAGGGCATTGTTCCATCAGGTGAGGCCTGAGGAGCTTCACAGCTCAACAGAGCGGGAGAGGGACAGGAGAGAAGGGACATCAGTGACCATCAGTGACCATCAGTGACCATCAATGGCCATCGGTGACCATAAACAGAACATCAGCCCCAAACCTCCCCCCTGGCGTGGTCAGACACTCCTGGTCTGGGAAAAGAGAGATGAGGAGCAGGATCTGATCAGCATCAGAGGGGAAGAAATCCGGATCCAACAGGAACCCAAAACCTGAGAACTGCACAACGTTGGACCAATGAACATTGAACCAATAAAGTTCTCTGGGGTTTGACTGGATAAAGTTTGGGGGAAAATCTTGTAAAATCCATGTGTTGTGGAATGATTTTCTCCGCACACCCGGGCTGTGTGTGTATGAAATTATTTCTGTGGCACATCTTGGCCAGAACAACATCGTGGCCAGAAAATAAAGTAATGCCTTGACTCTCCAACATTAAAATGTTGTTGGTCAGTTTTTGTTTTTTCCCCGCAGTTTTGATGACACTATGGATGCTTAGGATATTCTGAGATTCCATGAAACCTGCTTGGAATCAGTCTGGAAGGGCCAAAAGTGACACACAGAGACTCCACCAGCAAAAAACAACAAGAACATGGAGCCATCAGCTCTTTTCCTCCAAGAACAGGGCTGAAAGCAGAGTGAGGATGTGGCTTGTTCCCAAGAGCAACTCTGTTATCATTCTGGGCAGGCACAAAGCAGAAGCGCTGAACCTCTGCTAAAAAGTCACTGCTGATGCCTGCTCCAGCCTATCTGTGGTGATAAACAGCTCTAATCCCCACCAAAAATCTGCATCTTCAGACAGAATTCAGTCCCTGGGGAATTCTGCAAGCTCAGGGCTGCATGGATATGAGATGCTGGTGCACATCAGAGCTCTGAGCAGCCACTCTTCACTCATCCCAAAGCCACACTCACCCAAAACTAAAACAGGACTTTTTTTTCCAC